TGGATATACCCGATATTGACTTTTCGATGACTAATTATCAATGTGTGGGTCATGGTTGACATTTTGTAATGTGATTTGACAATTCAATACCGTTTTTGATGTCATGACATGTAAATTAAAATTGTTATTTTACGGTGATAATCTTGTTTTCTTGTGCCCAATAATACATAATTTCATTTGATAAACACGTTTAGATTGAATGGTAATTTATAATCAGTCACAAGAACGTCGAATCTGAATGACTTGAAAAAACACGGGGGTGCTTGACTTTTTTCCAGGTGTATATATACTCTCTTTTATTCAGAGGCTCTGTTCATTATTAGACCTGTCTAAGATATTAAAATGAACTGGAATGGACAACATGTGACATTTGCCAAGGTATATTTGACTTAGTGGGTGATCTTATGTTAGCATGTTCTTTCACACCTGTTAATAATTTTCTTTTAGTAGAAGTAATATAGCTTTGCTAACAGAAACAAGGTGGTTGTAAAAATGGAATTTTGTCCTTACATTTAAAGAAAAATCTAAGGTGACAATTAGGTTTAAACATACAACTTACATGCTTGTGAATGTTTTTTGTGACATATTTCACATTTGAAATGTCCACTGGTATTACTGAACAGAGCCTCTGGATAAAAGAGAGTTTAATAGGCTAAGGCTCAAAACTAACATTCTTGGTTCAGCAAGCACATCACAGTTGAAACTATAAAAATGTAGTGAACTATAGAATCCTATCATACTTAATTCAAAAGGTTAATTAAACTTTATACAATCTTTCAAGTCATCATATTCTATCTTTAGAACTACTATATAATTTAACAAACTGTGCATGGGGGTCAGTTCAATTGAAGAAAGAATGTTAAATATAATTCAAAATGTACTATGTGTATCTACACAAAATGTGGTAAGCTTTAGTAAAGTGTACAAGTATGTTGTACACAAAAAAATCAGATGTGTTACAAATATATTTCTATTCCAAATATATCTGTGAATTGACCATGTAAGTCTAACTCAGACTCTGACAAGATGGAATGCAAGGTGATGTGCATGTTAAGAATGAGAATACTTTTATCTATTTTGCATTAGCATACTGCATTTGCATAACCTCTAGAACCTCATAAATGCATATGTACAGTTTTTCTGTATCCCTGTATACTGTATCTGGTACTTACTCTCTTCTACCATCAACTGTAGCTAACTCAGCAATGCAGGATAAAATGAATGGTTTATAACTCCAACATCAAATATTTAACACCATATTGAATGGCACTCTGTAAAGGTTGTGGCATGTCCACTTTGACCCTCCACCTGTGTACATTTGGTTAATACCATTACTGGCCAATATTGCAGTTTCCACTGTACCAGGTATTTGTGAAAGATTGGTGAGGTCAATGGTATACCATATGTCTTGACAGCTTTCACTGCAGTGGTCCTTCACTGCCCATACACCTCTGCTACTGATTTAGATGTGTGGCTGAAAGCTTTTGAGCTTGTCAGCTTCATCAACTTCAAATCCTTATAAGCAATCCCAAGAGATATACCCAGCTTAACTGCAATGACTTTATGGGTCAGAGGGTTCTCATTCATAACCACATCCTTCACTCTGAAGATGAAGGCATTGCTTCAAATTTGTTTGGGGGTGTGATTTCAGAACTAATCACTGTCTCCTAAGTGATCTGTTGTATAAGTTTTTTCCACTTGGAAAATTCCTTTCTTCAAAAATATTATATTCATTGGTTTTATACATTAACAATGTTATAAAATGAATATTTCTCTTGATAAAGGGCTGTTTCATATTCCTCAAATCATAAGTCCACTTTTGAATGGATGGAAATTTGCATATATATATATATAGCAATTCTTCAGTAAATATAAAATAGCACAGAAATATATAGATACATAACTATTCTGTAAACACAAAGAATAAGACACACTCAATATTTCAATTGGAATTACTTTGTTATTTTAATTTACTGTGTTGCCAAGAATATCTGATTGTGTTTGTTGTAGACTTTCTTGGAATAATGAAAAACATTTTTCTCAGTGGATTCATTTTCCAAAATTCTAAGTAAAATCTATTATATTAATTTATCTTATATCTATTAAATGTATTTGCCAGACACAGGACTAAGAAACTGCATCAACAACTACAAAAAAGTAATTGATGTTACTGTGAATATTATTTCAACTGGCATTACCTTTTAACATGAAAAAATAAAATAAAAATATTAGAGTTAAAAATAATAATTAATCTAAACATCATTTCTCACATGTGTGTATGAGGCTTAGTTTTTATTTCCTTGTGTAGTCTCATTGATGCTGCTTATTCACATTGCATGGAAGTTAACATTTTCCATATCTGAAAAAAGTATTTCTGATAGATACTCACCTCCTCACACAATTAAGCTATCTTTCTAGTATGTCTGCTTTAGAGAAAATTCCTAGTATGTGTTGTTAAAAGTACCCTATAGTAGAAATGTGGTGGTTAGTGGAAACAAAGTTTGAATCAGGTGGATGGAACACAAGTGCAACAGGACAAAAGCTATGTAGTACTATAACAAAAAGGCAGTTAATTAAAGGCAACTAGAAACTCAAAGTGGTATAAGTGTGGCATGCACAGGAAATTCTACAGCAGTTGTATGGGAATAGTAGCTCTTAGGATTCCAAGAAGACAGGAACAGCCCCAAAGACTGTCTGGAAGCAAATGATTAAGACAATAGTCCCAGATATAGGAGGAAAGTATGCAGACACACAAATGGGGAAGTCTCCAGAACAAAGAAACCAAGCTTAAATAAAGCCAGAAGGGGAAAAAATGGAAACTAAAATGGTAAATAAATAATAGGCATCTCCACCAAAACTATTGGGATTGTAATGAAGAGCCTAAGTGGGGACATAAAGGGTACAGATAAAGTAAAGGAGTAGGGTAAAGATATACAAAAACACACTGATAGCTGGAAAGAAAGAGCAAGAAGAGTACTTCTAGCAGAAAGAAAGGACAAAAGAGATGGGGAGTGTGAAATATAAAAGGGTTATGAACTGAGGCTATAGCAAAGGAGTCACAAAGACAAGTAGGACAAAAAAGATGCGAGATAATGCAAAGTTAAATAGGAGGCACATGAAGTAAAACAACCAAAGAGGCATTATGATATATTGGTAAAATAATATAGAATAATCACATACTTGATTCATGAACATAACAAACAGAATAATATAAAGTATCTGTTCTTGAACAGGGAGAGAAGAGCCAGAAACAATGGCTGAAGGTGGAAGAGCTGGCCAAATTCATCCATAGATGAGGTAGGATGCACAAAAGGCAAAGAACAAAGCAACTAGGGATGTGAACTAGAGAAGAAATAGGCAGAAGGGAACCAAACATCTGATGCATGAAAGAGGAATAACATCAGTTGACTTGTTGGTACACCATGGTTCATCACAACTCAATAAGATTATGGGAGATGAGTTATCCGCAATGCCGAAAGTACCTTGCCATGGAGTGAAATCTAAAACCTTTAACACAAAGGCATGTACTCTACAAAGAAAGAGCTAAAGGAACAAAACTGAATACCATTAACAGAAAAAGTGCCTACAATTGCCAATGAGTCAGTTTGAGAAAATGCCTAGTATGTGTTATTAAAAGTAGCCTAAAGTAGAAATGTGGTGGTTAGAGGAAACAAAGTTTGAATCAGGTGGATGGAACACAAGTGCAACAGGAAAAAAGCTATATAGTACTATAAAAGAAAAGGCAGTTAATTAAGGCAAAAAGCACAGGAAGAAACATGTCTAATCATAGGCAGAGCTATGGAAAGAATGAGCCTATGATTACATACTAGGCTCATGGAGGTAATGCTGCTCTCCTACTAGTAGTGGGCTACAGCATTATGAGGATTACATCATAGGCTGGCACAATACTTATAGACAGGTATAAGTGTGGGAGTTAATCGAGGCTTGTGGCATGCACAGGAAATTCTACAGCAGTCGTATGGGAGTAGTAGCTCTTAGAGGTGCAGAAAAATATGTAACATTTCTAACAATTTTTTTTTTCTTTTTTACATGTCAGACAAAAAAAAGCTGAGTCTAACCAGTCAGTTCATATAGAACATTTCTAACTAGTCACATGTGTAAATTTTATCAAGTTAGTCACTAGACATCAATAATCAGTCAGAAAATATAAAATACTAAAATACAGGTAATCAGAAAATTTAATCCAAAAAATTAAATAATTATTATCAGGCAGGCAGTAGCATTGCCTGTGTAGGGATGGCTCTGATTATTCATTGAAACTGTATGTTAAATATCTCCTCAATAGGTCATCAGAACTTTACAATACTATACAGTATACAAGCAAGAATTAAGATATAGCAATATTATAACTATTCAATCACAACTGAGTTTAATTTATATTATTTTTATTTATTAACATTCTATTACACTGCATGCCTGTGCTATTACATACGAATGATGCAAATGCCATCACTACTATTTTGTTTGCATTGTTCTTGAAGAACTGATATTAGCCATTCCTACCTTTACTTCCTTTTTGAAAAGTTTTTCTTTACTTGTATAAAACATAGTTAATAGATATAAAAATACTGGTAGTTAGTTACAATATGGAATACTATAATATGCAATAGTAAATCTTATTATCAAACATAAGATACATCCAGTTTATACCTCATGAATGGTTATTAAATACAATAAACATATAATCAACAAATTAATAATTACAACATGTTAGTCATTCAGTATAATACATGAAGCCACTTGGCATATGTAATTATATAATACATCTAGCACCTATCAGACAGTATTTCATCTGTAAACAAAATAGACATAACTTGCCAATAAACACACAATGCATTCAACACTTCAGTACATATTATTTGTATCCAGTTCATTAGTAAATATACAACTGAAATAAGAACTATCCAATTATTCATTAAGCAATGACATCTTTGCTAATTATGACTTCATGAAGTAAGAATAAAAACAAATTCACTTACCAGGTTTTGCCATACTCCTACGAATTGCCAGAGGGTCTTTTCTGCTCCACTTTTGAACCTCTTCATCCAGTTTGTTGATTTTGGCAGGATTCATGGCCCACAGACAAACTTTTCTTTGGTTTTTGTCACCGCTAACTGGTTTTTCAATCTTCTCAAACCACTTATTCAGAGACAGATTATGCCTCACAGAGTTCTGCAGTATAAAATTAAAAGTTACTATGTATATAAAATTAAAAGGCTTATTTTTATCTAGTATTAAAAATAAATACACACATTATAAAGTACTTATTGAAAAAATGTTACATCACTTATAATTAAAATTTCAGCCATGTACGAGTCTTCACTCTCTAACCAGGTACAGATACACAGTAACCTACAGTGAGATGACTTGGGCCCACAGTTAGAGAAACTTTCAGTGCACAATTCACCATAATACTACTCACATTTTTTAATCTTTACCTGATATGTTATTCACTTTAGAAGTCTTTTTTTTGTGTCATATGATCAGTGGTGAACTGACATCTAAAACATTGGCCAGTATTTACTTTACATCCGTTTAAGTTCACAGTTTTCTCTCTACACACACTCTACTCTTTCTAGTCTATAGTACAGTTTTAACTTTCCAAATACTTAAATACTCACACAAATGCACTATTCTTTTCCAATACATTTATACAGTATACATTTTCCAATCAACAAAATATGCATTCTCACATCACACATGAAAGTATACACAGCACTCTTTTCAAGCATATAATACTCTTTTTCATATAATCACACAGACATACACACAAATCACTTTCCAAACATACATGCATTAACACTTTTTTTTACATGCCATTACCAACTCTTCTTTTCAATGTATACATAGTATTTTTCTTTAATACACATGGGAACAAAAGCTAAGTAAAAAATTAATTTGAAACATTGAATTCTAGGAAAATGTATTTAAAAAAACAACACATTTAAATGTATCTTTTCATTGAAATATTCTTCTCTGATAAAAACTTGACAAAATCCAAACTGTTATCACATACACATCACATAATCAGCACACTATTCCTTAAGTTAAGTTTTAATCAAGGACACAAGGATGCCCAATAACAAATCTGCTTGTAGCTTTCAAAAACCTGTATTTATTAATACTTCTAATATTTAAATCAGTTTGACTAACCTTATCAAATTAGAATGACTTTCTACCTATAACCTATCTAATCTCTTAACAATTTTAAAAACTGCATCATATCATCTCTAGTTCTTGTAAGATCATGCAAAAACTATTGCAAATATGATTTAAACCAGGTATAATTTTGATGACTATACACTCTTTCCATAAGGTTAATATTCATCCTATAATAATGAAAATAAAGCAAAAGAAAATATTTCAAACAAAATAGTAAGAAAACCCTCTTAAACTCAATACTTCCAAGGGAAGAACCTAGAATACTTCAAGCTTTGGTCAGCAATAATTTTTAGATTTTTCTTTCTATAAATAAACAACTTAAAATCACAACAAGGCTTTTCTGAATCTTTATATATTACATGCTTGCCTTTATATTTTTCAATACTGAAACAACATCCAAATATCAAAACTAAGCCTAGTGATCTCCTTAGAAATCAATATTATTGATAAGAAATAATAAACATTATACACCATATTTCTTAAGATATTTTAATAATCAAATTTAACTAACTACTCACTTGTTGTCATATTCTGATTTCTACAACTGGGTTAATTTCTTACATACATTTTTACCTATATAAGTGTAATCAGTTTTTAATGGAGTACCTTATCAAATGTTTTCTGAAAATCATGATGAGCAACATTCACAGGAATAGGCTTATCCAAAAAAAAAGCATAAGCTTATGAAACATTTTTACCACAATAGTGATGTATCAAACCCCTCCCTAAAACCATATTAATGCTGAAACTAATATCCAAAATTAGAATACAACATCATGAATACTTGAATCAAAAACCTTTATTTGAAAATTCATTAGCTGAACTTTCATAACATATCTAAAATCAGTCAGGAGATAATTCATTTTTTTTTGTTTTTCTTCCCATACTCTCATATTTTGAGACAATCCCCAGAACTCAAATACACTATGTGATAACTTCAAGATATATACTCTTTGGACTATTTTACATCATGGATAAGCACATCAGTGTATGGGAAAAACTCTGCAAACATAAAAGAAAAAAAAAAGAAGAAGCCAAATGAAAATAAAGTAAAAGGAGAAGAAGAAAAAAAAGCCCAATGAAAATCATGTAAAACAAACCTGGTTGATGTACTGCAGCACAACTTCAAACTTGTTCAACATTAAAACAGAAACATCCTTTTGCCTCATTTCAAGTATGCTAAATAACCAACACAGCCATTTTCAAATCTGTCTCAATGATAAGATTATTAATTCATTATTAACAACAAAAGCATTTCATTTTTGAACAAATGAAAGCTGATATTGATAAAACATTTCTGTAAACCAGAGTGAAAGATGATTTGTCCTGTGAGTGTGAGTTTATAAGAAATTTAACTGGTACAATATTTTATTATAAATTGTACAAAACTAAGAAAACATAAAGTTAACATTTTCCTTAAATGAAAATATATTTCCAATAGATACCTCTCTTCACACAGTAGCTATTCTTGCATGTCTGCCTTTTAAATTTTGCATGTGCCACTAGCCTTGAGCTATCTCCTGACTAAGTCAAGAATTGTAAAAAGACTACAAGATGTATCAAGTACTGAGTCAGAGCCAGGAATGGGTTAGAAAACTTTATCAGCTAACCCAGATGAGCCACTTCTTGGAGGAGAAGTGATATGGGTAATAAGGAGGCCTTCCATGAATAGGTGAGGAGCAGCCAGTCATCCAGGTAATAATGTAAATGATGTCCAAAGCTATGAGAATGTGACAAGCAAATATATATATATATATATATATATTCCCATGGTTCTGTTGACGATATAAGGAAATAAAGCAATGCCAAATGAGGGAGTTTGAAACTGGTACACCTGATTCCAGTGAATGAAATGAAGGAAACAATATGTGTATAAGATAATTGGAATAAGGAGAAAGGTGTCAAAGATGCTGACCTAGGTCATCCATTATATGATGGAAAGGGACCAATGAAAAGGAAGAAACTTCTTCATCATAAACTGAATAATCAAAACACTAATTTTGATTGATGAATTAATTAACATGACACTAACCAATGTATTACTAACACAAGAGTGTAATTACAGAAAAGCAATGAAGACTGAAAATCTAAGGTGTTAAGCACCCCCCCCCCCAAAAAAAACAACAGCACTGACTAGTTCATTATACTAGCAAGTCATTGCTCTCTATCATGTGATTGCAGTTTAAACAACATCTCAATAATCAAACATTATTCATTTCCTCAGTTTTGTTGTCACATGACACGCTAGTGCTCAATAATATATTACCATTTGTTTCTGTTACTTCAATAATGCTGTGTCTGTAGTGTACATGGATGTCTAGATATAAAACTATGTGTCAGAGCTCTACCCATCACTTGTTTCAAATTCCATCTGGTCAGTTCGTCAAACAAAGCTATATATCTTTCTCCCCTCTGACAGTAGACATGCCCATCTTCTAAATTAGAAAGGGAAGTTCTACACAAATGTCTACATATTTGAAGTAAATGTTTATAACCAATAGAAAGAGCTAATTTTAAACTGCAATCTCTCAATTGTTATTTTAAAACTGGTGCACACTCTTCATTCATAAGATCATCAAACTGCTAAAGCATTGTTGAAGGTTTGTTGTCTCTAGCACTTACTGACTTAGTTATTTTTTTCTCACCTTATATATATTAGTTTGATAGACAATTAAATTATATTTAGATTTTACTTTTGTATTTTAGTTAATTATGTATTATTTGTGTTTCAAAATTCATATTTGAAAGGTTTAATAATATCTTTAGTATAACCCAATTGCCCACAGACACCTGTTGATGTATGCTGACATAAACAATTGACAGTAAAGAATAGTAAAGGAAAATAAAACATTAAAAATAAACTAAGTGAAAAGGTAAAGATGTGAAATTATGCATATAGCTCAAATAAATTTTAAGATTATTTGACTAAGAGTGAGAGATCCTTAGATGTAGAAAAGGACCTCTGTAAAGGTAATATAAATAGAAACAAATTTACTCAGTAAGGGATATGGAGAATGGCGACAGTAGGCAAACAATATCCTGAAGAAGAAGACAGTCATATGATGAAGGTAATGTGCAATGAAAGTATGTGAGGTAGAACATATGCTATCTCCTCCAGTGGACAACAAAAATGAGCAGCCAGAGAGAGGGAAGTGTCGAATTGTGTGGAAAGAAACCTGGAATAGTCAATAATAATCCCTGTCCAAAGAAGTATATGCCAGGTGGATGAGCTGACATAGCCAACTTGTGAGAGTAATGGGAAAAAGATTTTGGGTAGAAGTTCCAAGGGATAAAATGCCATGAGTGGGAACCACAAAAAGGAGCAGTGCAGGTTAAATAACAGCAAACTGCCTATATGGGACAGAGGAGACAATCAGGATCAGAATAAGAATAAAGGTGAACAATGGATGGAAGGGAGATAGGGGCAAATGTGCTGTCCCCCTCCCATGTTACTTATGTTTTGGGGATAAATAGTATGGTCTGGATAAGGAAGAAGATATGAATGATGGAAAAGAATATGGGAGGCATCTATAGCATAGTTGTCTGACTGTAGACATCCGCAAGGAAAAGGAAGTAAGAAATAAGTCTGAAGCAAGGGATGATACAAAAAAAAGGCTACAGGTTCAAAGGGAGATAGGGTAAGGGCATGGAGAACAACATTCAGGGAGGATGGTAGAACAAGGAAGGCAAAGAAGGTGAAAGGATTGAAAAAGGACAGTCAATTAGAATATGTGACAAGAATGGGAAACCCAAAAATTATTTGACAATGCTGGTCTATAGCCAGCAATAGTCAAAAGTGATAAGCTCTGGTCAAATAGCTCTGTGAAAAACTCAGAAAGGTGAGAAGCCATGATGCAGAGACCAACTACGGAATATGCACCATTTATGTTGATAAACAAGGAAGGAAGAAGAACAAACACAATGAGAAAGGAGGAAGGCTACACATGAAGAGTGTCCAGACAAAACCCAAGCAAGAAGATGGAGTGTGGGTATCACTAGATGATAGAGAA